CGCCTTTGTAATGAGGAAATTGTCGGTATCTTTTCTGATGTAACAACATCATATGAATAAAGAAATAATTATTGCTGGTTAGTTGCAACATGATTATTTGATCGGAACTTTGATGGACGATGTATGACAACGGTCTTCAACATGTCACGCAGCAAACGCGTCAGTTCAGATTTTCCATAGGCTAAAATAATAGTTTTTAAATCATTTTTACACAATAAAACAACTTACAAGATCGCGCTATAATAATATTATATAGATTTGTTGGAATTTTGTGATTCAAGGAGTTTCCATGTAAAACATACGAAAATTCAAGGGTACAAGCGACACAGTTAATAAGAATTATTGCAAGTGCATCAGGATGAATTGAATGAACATCTGCTAATTCATCAATATATTGTTCTAATTCAGACGAAAATATAACACCTGGCCAAAATTTTAACTGTGTAGCGTTGTCAATGTTGCGAATCAAATATGCCATTTGAGTATTGTTGACACACGATACTTCATAGATTATTCAACAAATAGTCGTAAGATGTTCCTAGAAAAAAATTATCGTATCGATATATTTTATTTCCACAAAAAACGTTCATTATGTGAACTATTCCATTCATTACTCGACGAGGTGATACTGTAATGAATCAACCAATCATAAATTATTCATATGTTTTACCTTTATTTTTATATATTGAATAATTATTAAAACTATCCCATGCAATAATTATTTCTTTATTCATATGATGTTGTTACATCAGAAAAGATACCGACAATTTCCTCATTACAAAGGCGCCACCGTGATATAAATCTGAAACACAGAATTCTGACAGAATTCTGCTTAAACAAACGCTTGACAAAAGTCAGCCTGTAAATCAAAATTCTTACAAAGTTCTGGTAAAATTCTTGCAGAACTCGTATAAGATTCTGCTGTAAAAACAGATTTCTAGGCAGAATTCTGATTTATCTGCATGGATATGCGTGTAGGTTAAGACAAAATTCTGCTTTGAAAACAAAATTCTTAGAGAGCTTGTATACAGTTCTGCTGGAAAAACGGAATTCTCGGCAGAATTCTGCTTTATTTGGATGGATATACGTGTAGGTCAAGACAAAATTCTGCTTTGAA